ATTATACAGTGGACCATATATTTGTTTTATGGAATTTGTTAAAAGTAAAACTTGCAAAAAAAGTCGAAAAGTGTATACTTATTTGTAGATTTTAGGGCTGCATTCGACTCAGTGAATCATCTGAAATTATGGAGATTTCTAATTCAAGTTACAAAATTGTAAATCTATGAAGATTGATGTACACGAACACGTCTGCATTTAATATAACATATTTAACATAAAAATGTTTGTTTTATCTTTTTCTCTTTGATGATGTATTCATTTCTATGTCAAATAAATTTATTCTCATTGTCTGTCCTGATGTAGTATTGTTTTCAGTTGTATTAATTTTTTACGTTATGAGTTTCATAGATTCGTTTTGTAGTGTTGAATATTTGATTTGATACGTTTTGATGTAGTGTTGTTTTAGAGATTTAATTGTTTTTTACTTGTGTTGGTGTATTTTTTTTTACAGGTGTTTATTTTTTCATTGAGATATTCTGTGTGTATTTGTTTAACATTTTACCTTATATTGATTAGTGTGATATTGTTCTCAGGCGTTTGTGTTGTATATCTTTTATCAAGTTCTGTTTTTTAATTTTTCGTTTTTGAGAAACTCTAAAATAAAAGCAAAATGTATAAAGAAGGCAACTGTTTGAACAATTGAAAAAATTGTGTGTAAACACTAAAAAATGTATAACAATTTAGGAAGACAACGTGACAAGTCAGCAAAAGTATTTCAATATCGGCTGTAAAGATAGAAAAAAGACACCATGGTTGATTTGGAAGGTACTGTAGGTGTTAGTGAGTTGATAAAGGTTTTAGAGTAGTGGAATGTAAATGGTCTGAGTTAGTAAGGTGAATTGAAAAATGTAAGATGTCAGCAATGTTGTGTATTAATTTCCCGTATTGTCATCCATACAATTAATTACAGATGTAAAAAAAGCTTTGTATTATATTTACTGTTCTACTGATACGACATTTAATATGGTACGACCATGTATCTATTGTATAGAAGAAGATATTTTCAGGTGAGTTATTAAAAAATGTATAGAGTAATTGTTTTATGAAATTATGACGTAAAATATTACTAAAATACAAGCTTCGATACTAATTAAAATTGGCAAAACACCTTATTATCACTTATCAAAATCCTTAAATTAAACATTACGATATTAAAGGAAAGAAATGTGTAAAAATAAAGCTACTCATCCTGATTATTCCGTTTGGCATCCGTAAGAAAAATGTCAAAAGAAAATTCCAAGTTGAAGCGCCGTTAACCTGAAAATAATATTTTTGTAAAACTTTGAAAAAAATTTCATAAGACAAAAGATGATCATTTACACAATTGATTCTGCTTAAATTATAAATCAATTGATGACACTCACCCTGGCGATAGTGTTCTTTTAACTGTTTTATTCGACTTCGATTCTGAAATTAGACTTAACTGGTTAGAACGTTGCTTATTTTATCTATATTTGGCAGAATTGATCTTCATGTATATCAATTATATAATCAAGACGTTGCTTGTTTATTGTTACAGAGGACCGCTTGTTTTTATTTTCTGTATTTCGTGTTGTTAATCAAACACGAAATATAGCTTATAAATCTCGGAATTAAACTAATTTCCATAGAAAATTATATTTTAGATAATATACGTTAAGAGAATTAAGATTATTTTTTCAATTAATCAGTGTCTAAATCATTACACTTTTACCGCACGTTCATTTAAATAATATCAGGGGAATTATTGCAATTTGAATCAAAAGTAACTTAAATATAACGAAAATCTTAATTAATTATTATTGCCTTACTGTCCTTACTCAATTTCTTATTATATATTTGTCAATATGGACATTAATCATTAACAGGACAATTTTTTAGAATATGCAAGGTGAAAAACTGTCAAAAGAAATAGAAAGAATCAAGACAAAAGTCTGGTACCTGAGAACTTGTAAAAAAGAACAAATAACACCACCAACATTAAGCTTACCTGTGAATATAAGCAAAATTCTGCAAAAACATGACAGGTAGATTAATAAAGAAAGTCTGTTTTCTTTAAAAACTTTTCCTCAATTCTTGTGTAAATGCTTAACACCAGTATAATTGTCCTGTTAACGATTAATGTCCAAGTTGACAAATATATAATAATAACGAAAATCTGTTTATAAATCAATCTCATAATTTACTTCAACAATAATTTGTATAAATTTATCAACTTGAAGACACGAAAATGTTTCGAGTCGAAGCTCTATTCCTATTTATCAATATTAATTACACGAACAAAAACAAAAGATTACTTACTTTCGTGAGACTTCGAATCAAAATTTTTTCAAAACTTTCTAACTGAAAAGAAACAACAATGAAAATTAGGAGAGAGCTTCATTTATTTCGGATACAAACAATACGAAAACGGACAATTGTAAAGTATTGTTAGTCGAGTATTACGTCGCGTCAAGTGCGTCACTTATTACGTCGACTTTTCTACGATAAACCATTTAACTCATCAGTACGAATGTTCCATAAGCTTTAAAAATTGTATAATTGAGATACGAGAAATTATCTGTGCGCGAGATTTCGATTATGTTTACAGTTCGTTATATCGTAAGAAATAGTGTAGCGATTATTTTGCTAAAGACTTTTAGAGAATGCACAAAGGTTAAAGGAAAATAATACAACGTGATTTTGTTCCAGAATGTTACGATATTAACGGAAACGAAAAAAAAATTCTTGTCTTTAGAGTCTTCGGATTTCGGGAAAAACGTCACAGAATGGCTAAGGTTTCGAAATTGCAGTTTGACTGAATGACGTTATCAGACATCACTTCACAAGATATTCACGCTTCTACAGTCTAGTACAATACTTCACGACAAAAAGAATTTTAAATAACACTGCACAGAAATTACTCTTATAGTTTTTTTGTATTTAAGAATTTATTTTTCATTCAGTCGTCTGTTTCGTTTCGCGAAAAATACCTCTTATTTCTTTCAGAAACAGTTCCGGATTCAAATAATTCCTCTTATCTCTATCTCTAACGACACTTCCAGTAAAACACAATTTCAAAGTTTTCCAAAGGTGTTTTCGGTAACACGGAACTTTCTTAAAAATCAATTTTTTTTTTTCGTTAATCTGAACTTTACTGTCTTTAATTTTATTCGACATATCCCTGCTAGTTTTATTGAATTCAGCTCTTAATACGTCAGAAAGTGTTTTGTTTCTAATCGATGTTTAAAACATCGCGCGATCGTTAAACGTAATTTTTTGCAAATACGAACATCTACGACGGGCCATACTGATGAACAGAAAGTAGTATGAACGGGCCAGTATGAACAGATATTCTCTATCAAACCCAATTTACCAATAACTCGAGAGTTAACCCTAACTCTAACTCTAACTCGTGTTGGTGAATACGGGGGTCAGAGATGTAAAATCAAACAATCATGACCCACTTAAATGAATTTTCAGTTAATAATATTACAGCTGCTTACCTTTGACAGAAAATATTATACTCCCTATAGTTTGTTTCTTCACATAAAGCGTGCTGACACACAACCATCAAGTTTTAAACCATTCCAAATGGACGGAGTGCTTCGACAACACAGGTCGTTGACCCGAGATTAGTAGCAAGTTCATGTCATGAGTTGTTATTCGTCAATTCTTCTCTACATACTTCCCGCAACTTGTTTACGTCAACAACTTTTGGGCCCCCACTATATTTTCTATCTTTTAGTTCAAAATTTCATTAAAAAATTTTTTAAGTTTAGGCCCGATATACATTTTATCCGCGGCCATTTCCTGTTGATTTTACTCAAACAAAACATGAAAAGTTTTAAAACAAGCCTGTAAACAAAGAAAACAATATGTTAAGTTTCACAGCTGTTATATCGCATGTCTACGTTAAACAAAGACGGCACGGTAAATTTAAAAACACATTAATAAATTTCGTCAGTATTGACACGAAAATCATAATGACAATAAATTAGGGCCAGTGCTATAATGGTGATTGACTTGGAACGCCATTCATTGCGTTATTAAGCAATATTTCATACAATAATAACAAAATCCATGCTTAAAAGTATTGCATTCTGTGAGCTTTGTGATGTGTTATAAAGCCGGATGCACACATGCGGCGCGGCAAGGAAAAGCGGCAGAATGACGTCACTTTTTCTCGCCGCAGAAGTCGATTTTGTGCCGCTTTTCTCGTGCCGCAAAAGTTGGTTGAATTCTNATTGGCCTTTATTATAGATAAGTTTGTCAAATCCAATGAATTTGTTAAACGGGATAATGTCAAAGAAAAAAAGAAGTTTTTAAGAAGAGTGTTATATGTTATTAAGAAACTGACCCCGATTGCTCGACAGAATAACAATCGGGGAATAAAACTGGATATTCGTTGCTATTCCATTCATTCTTTAAACTAAAATAAACCACGTAAATTTAATTCTTATGTCATTTTCTTCCCACTTTCCAATTAAATGAGGTAAATTGTCAGTACAGTTTTTATTTAAAAATAAACATAGCAACGAATAAAAGATTATCTTCAAAATATAAATAACTAGAAACTATTGATATCGTATATGAAAATATACACTACAAAATTATCATATTGTAACAGAGACGCTATTGCTTAAGGTTCATTCGCACTATTTCCCTCTTTAGTACAAAAAAGACTAAAGTTCTTAGCGTACAGAACGTGATGCACGGGCTAGAGCATATGATGCAAAAACGAAATGCCTTACTAAACGGCTGGCGAATGCATGCAATAATGTGAATGTGGCCCAGTATGTGTAACGTTGTGTTAATGAAAGTAAAATTGTGAAGTAGTTTAAAGAACATATAGATTCCATTGGTAAATTAACATTGGTATTACAATAAATTATACTTAATTATTGTGTTTTATTGAGTGTTTCGGCGTGGAGTTGCTCTTATCGTGGCTAACTATTGACAATTGGCCTTTATTACGGATAAGTTTGTCAAATCCAATGAATTTGTTAAACGGGATAATGTCAAAGAAAAAAAGAAGTTTTTAAGAAGAGTGTTATATGTTATTAAAGAATAGCTCCAGGTAAACGTTTTCCTTCTTGCTCCTCCGGAAGTGCTGGTAAAGTGAGAGACACTAGCAAGTATTTGGATCATAAATTATTTTTAAAAGAAATAAGAGGTATGTTAAGCGTAATAAAGGATGCTTCAGAATGAAAAATAGACACGGAATTGTGTTTAATAAAAGTCAATTTTGTGGATATTATTAATAAGATTAATATATCGACAGAGAGAATTAATAAATTAGAATCCGTTCATGACTGTGGTATTCACTGCAACAATATGCAGTTTATTACTGGTTTATGTAAAAAAATCAATTACACTTGAAAGTAAGCTAAGGGAAAAAAAATTTATATTAATGTGGAGACGAATCATAGAGAAAATTTATTCGATAGAGAATCGAAGCTATTTAGGGAAGATGTTGGTTTATCGAATGTCTTTCTTGATTGTGTTAGACTGACAAAAAATACAAGTAAGAATTCGGTGGTTTCGGTTAAATGCATTTCTTTGGCAGCGAAAAGAGAAATATCGAATGGTTGGAAGAGTATTTGTGATAAATTTCCTGCCTGTGACTGGAGAAAGGCAGTGCGCATAAGAAGGGATCTTTTCGTTGAATGTAGGCAGAAGAGCAAAGAACATTATGGATAATTTAACACAGGCCAGAAAAGAAGGAAAAATTGCATATTTTAGAGGTGATAAATTGGTGATAACTGAAAACTTTCGTAAGGTTGCCAGGGATAAAGATAAGAATAATTGTGTTAGCGATTATTTTTAGGAGTAAGCATGATACAATAAAAGTTCTTAGTTGGAACATAAATGGATAGAAACAGGAATATGAAATGCAGTATTGAAATAATATGAAAAAGTTCCATACTTTATGTTGGATGGAAACATGGTTAGGTGAAATGGATACAAGAAAGCCACCGATTGATACGATTGATAAGTAAGGCATACGATTTTAACAAAATTAACGCTACTAGAATACTTGATAAAGGGCGGAGAACAGATGGGATGGTATTGATGGTTAATAAAGAACTCAAGCATGTTGTGGTTCGTGTCTTTGAAGATTGGTTATTTGAAATACGTTGGAAAAACATTAAGTTTATTTTTGTTTATATTAGAATAGAAGTTTACGCTAAATGTTTTAAATTACTTGAGACATTGTTTAATTCTTTTCAAAATGAGGACATATATTTATTGGGAGACTTTAACGGTAGAATTGGAACTTTGAATGAAATGGAATGAGAAGGTGATGTTTTCCCATTGTTGGATTAAAGTGTTTACCGGAGTTCGGAAGACAAATGTATCAACAAGATTGGATTGAAGTAAGTGGAATTAAGCCAAGCAAAAGGTCTGCTGATTGTGAATGGTCAAGTTAAGGAAAATGTACATAGAAAATATACTTTTAAAACCCTGTATTTCGAAGGAGATTAAAACTAATTTGTTTATGCACTTCAAAAGTTTATTGTTCAGTGATAATCTAGTTAAAGAAATTGTTTGTTTAGAGATCTGTAAGTTATCTAGATACGGATATTTCTCATGAACTAGATTCTCTTTTGAGAGAAGCCAGGTCAGATAAAGCGGCTGGACCGGAAGGTATTTCGATGGAATGTTGGAAGTGGGCTTACGAGCGATTAAGGTAGAAATTGTTGAACATTTTTAACGAATTTTTGTTCACAGTTGGTAAAATCTTCTCAATGATCCTATATAAAAAACTGTTGTTATGGGAAGAGAGTGAGAAAATCTTATTCGAGATGCAAGCGGGTTTCCGCTAAGGGTATTCTAGTGGACCATATATTTGTTTTACGGATTTTGTTAAAAGTAAAGCTTGCAAAAAAAGTCGAAAAGTGTATACTTATTTTGTGGATTTTAGAGCTGCATTCGACTCAGTGAATCATCTGAAATTATGGAGGAGACTTCTGATTTGAGATTAAGTTACAAAATTGTAAATCTGTTAAGATCGATGTACACGAACACGTCTGCATTTATGTTGGTTAATGGAACTTTTTCAGAATACTTCCACTGTGACAAAAAAGTTCGGCAGGAATATCCGTTGAGTCCACTACTGTTTCCCTATATATTAACGGTTCGGTTAATAGATTAAATGAAATTTCAAAGTTTAATGGTTTATGGTTAGGAAATAATACCTACATTAAGGCTCTGTTAGATGCAGACGATGTGGTGATTGTGGCTGACAGATCGTTTAGAAGTGCAGTTGGCGATTGATGATCTGCTGAGGTTTTCAAATGATATGCACTTGCAGATTATTATTAAAAAAACAAAGATAGTGGTCTTTCAGAATGGTAATAAAAAAACAAAAAACAAGCAAATGTAAATGGTTTTTGGTTGAAGAAGTAGTTGGAATAGCTGAAAGTAGTTGTAGTTTGGTTGAAGAAGTAATTGAAATAGCTGAAAAATGCAAGAATCTGCGTATTTTGTTTAATTATATAATATGATATACCACTTCGAGATTATCGCGAGGAAAGCTAAAGGTGCTTTGGCGAAATTATTTTAAATTTTTAACATATCAGGGTTAGTCTTGTATTCTCTACATTTCACGTTATTTGATTTAACAGTTAAATCCGTTATGTCTTATGGCGTTCAGGTTTGGGATTTGGCCAATGTTAATAACTTTGAGTTAGTCCATAGAGAATTTTTGAAGAAAATGTTGGGCCTCAGATTTCGCGCATCGAATGTTGCTGTTTTATCGAAAACTGGACGGGTACCGTTGAAAATCTTTTTTATAAAAGCAGTTCTAAAGTACTATGTAAAATTACTGGAATTATCTAAAGACAGGCTACCCAGAATCCGTATGAAAAGAATGCAGATAAATTCAAAGTAAGTCATGGTGGTTAGATTTCAAATACTGGCTGGAGCGAATGAAATTTAACGATCTGGTTATTCAGAAACAAATTGATAGATGGAAAGAAAGAATACTGTCCATTGTTTTAAAATGTATAGAATTGAAACTACAAGAGATGAGGAATGTGTTGAATAATTCTGCATTGTTACGCTAATATAGTAAGGTAAATTTTAATTTTGGCATGGCAGACTATCTAAGAGATGGTAAATTATGGCGAAAAAACAAATAGCATTGTTGAGACCAAGTAGTGTTATGTCAAGAAGTGGTTCTTTGGTGTGTGTAATTTGTAATCACTTATGTAGTTATAGAGATTAGTGTCATCACATGTTCTGTAAATATGAAAATAACATGTACAGGGAGTACATAGAAATGTTGTATGGTAATTCTGATTCAAACTTTCAAAAGTGTTAAAATTTAACAAGTTGTTAATGAAATTAGATGTTTTGAGCTAAAAGAATTTATGTTTTATCTTTTCTCTTTAATGATTTATTCATTTATATGTCAAATAAATTTATTATTATTATGTGTCCAGATGTGTCATAGTATTGTCTTCAGTTGTATGAGTTTTTTACGTTATGAGTTTCATAGATTCATTTTGTAGTGTTGAATATTTTATTTGACACGTTTTGATGTAGTGTTGTTTTAAAGATTTAATTGTTTTTTACTTGTGTTGGTGTATTTTTCTTTACAGGTGTTTATTTTTTCCTTGAGATATTCTGTGTGTATTTGTTTAACATTTTACCTTATATTGATTAGTGTGATATTGTTCTCAGGCGTTTGTGTTGTATATCTTTTATCAAGTTCTGCTCTTTAATTTTTCGTTTTTGAGAAACTCTAAAATAAAAGCAAAATGTATAAAGAAGGCAACTGTTTGAACAATTGAAAAAATTGTGTGTAAACACTAAAAAATGTATAACAATTTAGGAAGACAACGTGACAAGTCAGCAAAAGTATTTCAATATCGGCTGTAAAGATAGAAAAAAGACACCATGGTTGATTTGGAAGGTACTGTAGGTGTTAGTGAGTTGATAAAGGTATTAGAGTAGTGGAATGTAAATGGTCTGAGTTCGTAAGGTGAATTCAAAAATGTAAGATATCAGCGATGTTGTGTAATAATTTCCCATATTGTCATCCATACAATTAATTACAGATGTAAAAAGAGCGTCGTATTATATTTACTGTTCTACTGATACGACATTTAATATGGTACCACCGTGTATCAATTGTATAGAAGAAGATATTTTCAGGTGAGTTATTAAAAAATGTATAGAGTAATTATTTCATGAAATTATGACGTAAAATATTACTAAAATACAAGCTTCGATACTAATTGAAATTGGCAAAACACCTTATTATCTCTTATCAAAATCCTTAAATTAAACATTACGATATTAAAGGAAAGAAATGTGTAAAAATAAAGCTACTCATCCTGATTCTTCCGTTTGGCATCCGTAAGAAAAATGTCAAAAGAAAATTCCAAGTTGAAGCGCCGTTAACCTGAAAATAATATTTTTGTAAAACTTTGAAAAAAATTTTATAAGACAAAAGATGATCATTTACACAATTGATTCTGCTTAAATTATAAATCAATTGATGACACTCACCCTGGCGATAGTGTTCCTTTAACTGTTTTATTCCACTTCGATTCTGAAATTAGACTTAACTGATTAGACCGTTGCTTATTTTATCTATATTTGGCAGAATTGATCTTCATGTATATCAATTATATAATAACAATGACAATAAACAATAAACAAGACGTTGCTTGTTTATTGTTACAGAGGACCGCTTGTTTTTATTTTCTGTATTTCGTATTGTTAGTTATACACGAAATATCGCTTATAAATCTCGGAATTAAACTAATTTCCATATAAAATTATATTTTACGTAATATACGTTAAGAGGATTAAAATTATTTTTTTAATTAATCAGTGTCTAAACCATTACACATTTATTGCACGTTTATTTGAATAATATCAGGGGAATTATTGCAATTTAAATTAAAAGTAACTCAAATATAACGAAAATCTCAGTTAATTATTATTGCCTTACTGTCCTTATTCAATTTCTTATTATATATTTGTCAACATGGACATTAGTCATTAACAGGACAATTATTAAGAATATGCAAGGTGAAAAACTGTCAAAAGAAATAGAAAGATTCAAGACAGAAGTGTCGTACTTGAGAACTTGTAAAAAGAACAAATAAGACTATCAGCATTAAGCTTACCTGTGAGTATAAGCAAAATTTTGCAAAAACATGACAGGTAGATTAATAAGGAAAGTCTGTTTTCTTTAAAAACTTTTCATCAATTCTTGTGTAAATGTCCTGTTAACGATTAATGTCCATGTTGACAAATATATCATAATAACGAAAATATGTTTATAAATCAATCTCACAATTTACTTCAACAATAATTTGTATACATTTATCAACTTGAAGACACGAAAATGTACCGAGTCGAAGCTCTATTCCTATTTACTCAATATTAATTACATAAACAAAAACAAAAGATTACTTACTTCCGTGAGACACTTGCCAAATCAAAATATTTTTCAAAACTTCTTAACTGAAAAGAAACAACAATGAAAATTAACTGAGAGCTTCATTTATTTCGGATACAAACAATACGAAAACGGACAATTGTAAAGTA